ATAATGTAAATTAAAATCTGTGCTTAATGCTTTTCGATTCGGTGATCGGCATAACCTGGCACAGATTTCAGAAGTGCCAAACTTAATCATAATGACATAACTAAAATTCAATTCGAACCACGAATTTCTATATTTCCTACAAGAATTACCAAACTACAACGATTAATAAAAAACAATTATGACCTCAGTAATTAATATAAAAAAAAAACACGATTCAAAAACGAATAACTCGCTTTACTAATCTATACCAAAATAAATTATCAAAGAAAAAAAAATCTTACTAATTACCTTTACATTTTAAAATACACAACATAAATAACATTACATCATAAAACAATCGTACTAAACAAACCAATACAAATAATACATAACCAAATTCAATAAATTACAATACAAACCACACAACCAGCACAAATGCAAGCTCCCCCAAACAAAAATTCAAGTAACAACCCAAATAAGATAAAATCAAACAAAAATACTAATTCATATCATTCCAAAAATACACATTAAAAAAATCTTAATCACAAAAACATAACTTAAAAAAAAACTAACTAAATAGGTATCAAAAAAAAAACCCCCCTAATATCAAAGCTTAAACCGTTTTACATAACAAAAAACCACAAACAGACTCGAAACTAATTAAACAATCTACAACATATAAAAAAGCAACAACAAATAAATCCTTAAAACCACTAAATCAACCAAATACATTAATACCAGACAAGCAAAAAATACTTACACTTTTATACTATAATTAAGATGGGTGGCGCGCATGCGCCACCCATCGCACTAGTTTATTTTTAAGGTTGAATCTCTTAAAAAAATTATTAACACTCCGATTTATAATAAAAATGCATCTAACCCATTTTCCCATACGTTTAATCCATTTTTCCCATTAGCACAACCCATTTTAAATTTCTGTACAATTTAGATAACCCATTTTAAATTTACCGTTATATGAATATATGTACAAATGTACAATTTAATGTATTTTATGGATAACAGAAAATTTAAAAAGTATATCAGAATAATAACATTACATATATGTGAAGTCAATTAAATGATTCACAATAGGTGGTCAAAATTTTCAAATTTTGGTGTATTTTACAAATCCGCCGTAATGAAATATTATCTCGATATTTCAGTATCTTAGCTGGAAAATATTTTTTAAAAAAAATTTGGAGGCCTATCATTTCGAAAATCACCAAACACTTAGGTTTAGCATATCTTTTATAAGTCGGGTTCTTAAGCACTTTCAAAAATTTGGATGTATTGAAAAGCTTCCGCCATTTTCAAAACCACGTTCACTGAACGTGAATGATATAAAATAGTTTAAAACTTTAATGAAAAAAATATGGATTACAATTCGAGATGGAACTCTGGTTAGACGTTATGACAATTTGTAGGGCTACGAACCAACTTGTATATACAAATAGAATATTATTTATTTATACACAGGTTTATTTATATACATGATCTTCTTTTAACATGTACTTCGTGCAATATGTTTATTATAAAGTCTAATTAATAATATTTAGTGCATTTTTTATATTTCTTGTTGTGACTTAATTGGCACATTAAACATGTTGGATAAACATTCGAACGAAAGTTTGATAATGTCATTATGAAACAAAAGTAGTTTTTATTATACAGATCATGCCGAAATTACAAACTTAATCGAATCGGCTGAAAAATCATTCGGCCAATTTTTATCAAGTGTTCCAGGAATTATGAAAATAGCTGTAATCAAAGTAACTAGATCAAAATTAGCCATTCAGAAATGAGTTTAATGAATAAGGTTTAATGGTTGGTACACAGATTCTCCCAATACTTTATATCCGGATTAGCCTCTAACGCCCATGGTGCCGGTGTTGGTTTTTTTAAAAATTTAATTTCTTCTGGAAGTTCAAGAAATTGGGCAAACATGCCAACTTCACTGTGCCACTTAAAATATGAAAAAAATGGTTACACTTTTTGAAAGAGACTCATCAGAATATCACAGAGAACATTCTTACATCGACATGGCAATGGAAAGCCCAAACTCCAGGGTTATTCGTTACAAATCGAATTACTACATAGCTTTTAAAAAGTAGAGGAAATTAATAATGTATGAATAAAGACGTAAATAGAGTATTTGTAACTAACCCAATCGCTGGAATAGTTGTGGTGTCACGCATAATCGGATATTTGAAAATTTCGGTTACTCGCTCATCAGAAACTTTCATAACCCAAAAAACATGTCCATGCTAAATGTAAAATAAAGTAAGTAAATATATACTGGCCATTAAGAATTTATTTATTAAATATAATATAATCAGGGTTTAAAATTCAAGCAAAAGATACATGCACAATACAAAGTTAAAATTTTTTTTACTTAAATATTATTATATAAAAAAGCTTTTTATATGCTCGCGAATCTTTTTAAAATTTCTTGCACGCAAAAAAAAGCCCTTGCGCATATGCATCTTGCAACTTCAATTTTAACCCTGAAACCTAAATGCCACATGGTTATATATGTGATATATAGAAAGTTTCAGCTGTTTAATTCAATTTACCAAATGGAAAGGATGACTGATATCATCAAAATCTAAAAAAAAAAAAAAAAAAAAAAATAAATAAATGTTTGAAGCAGCAATAATAATATTTTTAAAAATATGAAATTTACTGTGTATAATAACTTCAATTAATTGGCCTCTTGTATCAAATTCAATAATATTCTGAGTAGGTGGCCAAGAAGATATACCAGCATATAAACCTTGCAATGTATTACGGAAAATATCGTGGCCATCAAACTCCGTGGGGTTATTACCTACATACTCCTCCCCGACTGTGGTCAAGTTGTAAACTCCTGAACCAATGTAATCAGGAACTACTAACATGGTAACAGTATAATATAAAGTTTTATTTACTGTTGATGGTGGTAATAATGATAGATTTTTTGGTGCCAACATAGACAGATTAAAACCATCACATCTTCGCAAATTGCAACTGTCAATCCATCCATTCGGAATTGTAGCTGGTTTTCCATCAGAAGAATCGTACCTAACAGTCGCTAGAATTTTTCTAACCATTCTTTGCGTTTGACAACAAGGTGTATTTTCCCGAAAGCAATCGGTTCTCGTCTCTATGCGCATCCAAAATTTGGTTATGTTCTGTGCTGTTTGGTCTCGGGTGGCAACCACCGAATATCTCTGTGCAACATGAATAGGTATATGATATACTGATTGTGATTTATTGACGTGCTCGACGTGTTGCCCTTCAACCTCGATGATTTGTAATGTATGATTATCAATAGAGAAGTGGTATTCTATTAGCGCGCTAGATAGATATATGCTTTTAATTTATAGCAATAGAAGATATAAATGAATATGACGATTTTTTATTATTACCCGGCGTTAATTATACGAAATCGATGTTTATCTCCTTTCGACAAGTCGTACACTATTCCAGTGTCGGCTGAAGTATAACAAATTTTTTCACAAGATTCAAGACAATTTATTTCCCAGGTTCCAGTGCAATTTTCTTCACAGTGTTCAGTACGATTACAATTTTTTTCACAATTTCCTTTGCCTTGGCCATTAATAAGAATTGAGTGCGGAATGGGCTATTAAAATAAAATATTTAGAATTTTGTGAAACGTTCTTTTGAAACGAATTTTATTATCGTACCTCATATTTTACGCTGCCATAAGGTGAATCGCTGGTCGCATATTGGAATTTATTTAATAAAGTTTGTACGTTTTCGTGATACAAATCTGATATAAGTATATTGTGTTCCACATAGTCTTTATAGTTAGTATCAGTCTCATTAATAATTAACAAGCCATAAAATCCGACCAGTCGCTGAGTTTTATAATGTGAATGACTAGATTTTATATTAAATTTCCATATTTCTGTTATCTGTTATTATAAATATAAGATAGGCTCGGACCATAATAATTATTTGAATCGTCTACTTACTACCAATGAGTACCAGGTTCATCATTCGCATAAAAATCGTACAGAAATGATTTACCAGCTTGAATTGGACATTGAGTTATAGTTGGAGTACCGTCAAAAAATGGCGCATTCCTCATATTAAGTCCGTGCCAATGGATTGTAGTCACTTGATTAAGTTCATTTCTTACTAAAACTTGAATCCGCTGCCCTGGTCTCACATAAATAGTTGGTGCAGGAAATTCCGAGCAATTAGGCATCTTTCTATTAGTGTCGTAAACAAGTACAACTGGCCGTTCACCGCAACCATCATGTTCACATTTATGATCTTTGATCGTCCAATCAATCTTACACGGACCTTTTTCATATGTACAGTCATATATTACAGAGGCTGATAAGACCGAAATTATCAAAAAAGAAACTCCAAATAATATTGATACAGCAAAAATTAATTGTTTCATCATTTCATAGATTTTTAATGATGCCCAATATTTATTATTCTTATATGAAATTTCCACTTAGCCCTAACGCAAAGTAATGAGATGGTTTAGAGTTAAGATAGCGCCTCAACTAATTATATCAAATATTATTAGGATAATGAATTATTTAATGGATAAATTTCGATATTATATACAAGCTCTCTATAATCACACACTTGGGATACAAAAATGTGTATTGTAGAGAAGTGTGAGAGTTATAGAGGTAAATTTATTATATTTAATTAATAATACAGTTATAGTCACCGCCCATTTTCTTTATAAGCATATTTTTTAAAAAACAAACTATTATTAAGTCTTTAAAATTATTTTTGATTGATTAGATGAAAAAAAACCCGATTATTCAAAAACGCAAATATTTAATGCAAAGCCAAGGTGGCGCCTCAACTAATTAAATCAAACATTAGTAAGGTTAACATATGAAGATCATTAATTTCGGATTTTTTATAAATCACTTGTTTAATTTTAAAAAAACAATATTTTAATATTTTAATATTTAAAGCTTTTATATTTGACTTGGCCTGGCTTGTATATCTAGTTTTTAAAATGCTAATTACATGAATTATTAATAATTTACCGTATTTACCCAACATGTAGATCCCGTGCAACGACCCTGTGGAGATTTTGATAGCCAATTTTTGACATATACCCAGGCACCTAAATTTGATACTATCATGTTTCTGTACCCGAAGAAAACATAAAACATAATCTTATTGTCCGAAGGACATTACGGTCAGACAATATGGTTACACCTATAGTTGTTAGACGAAACCTTGAGGTTTCGCGCTGACGAAATGCGAAACCTAGTTTCGTCTTTCGTCAACTAAAATCTCAAATTACGAAAGGTGACGAAACTGGCGAAAGATGACGAAACTGACGAAACTGCAAAGGGTACGAAACTAATAAAAGATGAGAAACAGAAGCAAGTGTAAGTAAGGGCGCCATTGGCTCTTACATTTATGTTTATATAAGATTAAAATTTAAAACATACAATTATATCAATTTTAATATGTAACTTAAGAAGTAACTTATCAATTAAGTAAATTAGCATAATTAAGAAAATTAACAATAAATACATGGATTATTCTACATATTTCTGTATATCGATATCAATTAAAAAAATTATTACGCCTATTGGCTAAATAAATAAAAGACTTTTTATTAATAAATTAGTAGAGTAATTGAGAGATGCTAATGGCTTATTTGCTGTTTAAAATTTCTGTAAATGGCTTTTCAAAACCTAAATATACAAGCCGGGTCAAGCCAATAAACCTCTTCAGCATTAAACATAATAATTGAGGGATGCTAATGGCTTATTTGCTATTTATAATTTCTGTAATTGGCTTTTAAAAACTTAAATATACAAGCCGGGTAAAGCCAATAAACATTTTCAGCATTAAGTAGAATAAATTAAAATGCTAATTGCTTATTTACCTATTTATAATTATTGTAATCGGCTCTTTAAAACCTAAATATATGCACAATCAATAAACATCTTCAGTATTAAATATAAATAATAAGCCTCATTGATGATTTATCAACGGGTTAAATATCTAAAAATTATAGAGATAATTTTATTATTTTTGTTGATACTTCATCAAAACCAAATTTTCAGTAGTAATTTTTTAGCGAGAGAAATAGGGATTCACTATTATCATAAGGTTTCAGCAGTCCGGGAGGTTTTTTTTTTTCACCAAGGTTTTTTTAGCGGTAGCACTAGAGTTTCGTTGGGTTTCGTCTTTCGTCAGCAGAATTTGAGATTTCATCTTTCGTTACCAAGCAAAAAAGGTTTCGTCAAACAACTATAGTTACACCAATGTGTGTGTGTCTTCAATTACGGACTTTGATTAGTTAATCTGATAGAAACAATCATTATGCTCCATTTGTCGGTGTTGGTTTTCCTTCGGACTTAAATGGTTTCCATTTACCTAGTTGTTTTTAGCTGAAAGTAGCCACGAAGCTCCAAAAAGATGAGGCGTATTGAAAGATCCATGACAAGCCGTAAACAAAGCAAAGCCAAAAAATGGCATGCTATGGCTTGCCGAGCTTAGATTAGAGTAGAAAAAAGTTCGTTCTTGTTCGTTTTCTTTCCCTACATATAAAATTGTATAAAATGTGCTTTTCGTCCTCTAATAAAGAGACATTTTTTAATAAAGATAAGAGCATGGTCTCACCTTTAACATTAAAAAAATAAAATAAAAATAAAGAGACATATTTGTTAGTCCCACCATATGTGGTGCGGTCAGTTTAAAGGGGGCTTATGTTATTTTTTCTATTTTGAGAAAATCAAATTTCAAATTTGGTGTAACAATAACAATGACAATCTATTACGCAATCATAGGTCGCTCTCAAGCGCCTCAATCAATGAGTCAAAAAGTGTCTGGGAATAAATTTTACTTAGCGGAAAATATTT